AATTTTCTGCATTGTAGCGCTGCTGCCTTTCCACCCCCTCCCCCCCCCCCCCCCGTTTACAAGCCCTGCAAGAGCCGGGTTTGGTGGAAATTCCACATTCCTATGGTGGGGGGGGGGGCAAAGAGGTCTCTCCTTTACGGACAACAAAAACCACTGTTGGTCTTATTCTTAGCTCTTTCGGTAAAGTCGCGTTGAAGGGAAACAACAAAATAATAATATATATATAAAACAATAAAAATTCTCACGACGTTTCGACCATAACGCAAACGGTCGTCACGTCGTGAGAATTTTTTGTTATTGTTTTATATATATTTTATTATTTTATTGTTTTTCCTTCAACGTGACTTTACCGAAAGAGCTAAGAATATGAATTACTGCAGTCACGAAAGCTTTAAATCAAAATTTCACTGTTGGTCTTGCCCACAATTTTGATCTTGCTAGCTCGGGGGGGGGGGGGGCTCGGGGGGGGGGGGGCTCGGGGGAGGGGGGGGGGAGGGGGGGAGGGGGGGGCCCGCTGAGTTTTTCCGTACAGCTCCCTTTGTCAGGAGCGTACCTGGCCATCGCAAACGAGAGCCGCTCAACGACGCGGATAGTTGCCGTCACGTGGAACTTTCTAGCAGCAGCCAATTAACTCTAAACGCGTGGCGATGTCCATTTCTAAAATGTGGTGGGTGGGGGGGGAGTACACGGGGAAAATATCCACGCGACCACGCGGGAGGGGGAGGGAGGGGAGAGAGAGAGAGACACAGCAAACTCCAAAATATACAGTAGGTGTCAGGGTCAAGATTGAACCCACGACCTCCTGCGTGCCGGGCGAGGTAGTTAACATCTCCTAGCCACCGTGATGATGAGAGAGAGAGACACGCAAACTCCAAATACACAGCAGCAGTCGTCAGGGTCGGGATCGAACCCACGACCTCCTGCGTACCAGGCGAGGTAGTCAACATCTCCTAGCCACCGTAGCGCACTCGTCCGGCAACATTGAGAGGTTCCTTCAAGTGCCCTCTTAGTCCACACTTAGAGGGGACGGCACTTGGCCACCCCACTCTACTTACCCGGGTGGGCGAGTGGGGGGGGGGGGGGGTGGTAAGGGATGGGCGGGGGAGATTGCTCCGAAATTTTAATTCCCGGAGCTGAAGTTCAAGTCAAAACTTGGGCGTGGAACAAAAGTTGAATATGACGCCGGCGGATGTTTGGCTTGCCCCGCGCGTGTTTAAAACTTGTCGGCTCCCTACACTTGGGAGTGTGAACCCAGGTGAATCGCAACGTCAGCTCTGTGCTAGGCTTCTAGTCGCTGTGCGAGTCTGTGGGTCTTCTTACGAGTCTCAGTCGCTGTGACCAATAAACCTGAGCGCACACACTGGTGGAGCCAGTGGGGGGGGGGGGGTGGCACGTGCCCCCCCCCCCCCCCCAATGATCCAAACGAAATCCCTAATTTCGATCGGATCATTGAGGTTTATTAGTAATAAATCGGCATTTTGCGACCCCCCACCCCACTGCCACCGTGTAGCATATTATTACGTGGCCAGGGACTCTACGAGATGATAGGACAATAATTGGCAATAAGTAACGGCACAGCGGTTATAAGTGACTCACAGAATTGTGCGCAGCTGCGTCTACAGAGTCCACGACTTCCCTGAAGGCATCGACACCTTCAGCGAGCGAGATGCCGATCACTAACAACGCGGTTCGAATCGACCCCTCGATCGATGGCTGCGTCATCGCCGCACACGCCTCGAGTAACAAGCACGGGACAATCCTTACTTATTAACAACTCCTTACTTACTAACTCCTTACTTATTAACAACTCCTTACTTACTAACATCTCTTTACTGATAACTCCTTACTTACTAACGCCTTACTTACTAACTCCTTACTTATTAACAACTCCTTACTTACTAACATCTCTTTACTGATAACTCCTTACTTACTAACAACTCCTTACTTTACCGAAAAAACTAAGAATATGAACTCCTTACTTACTAACAACTCCTTACTTACTAACAACTCCTTACTTACTAACAACTCCTTGCTTACTAACAACTCCTTACTTACTAACAACTCCTTACTTACTAACAACTCTTTACTTACTTACAACTCCTTACTTACTAACAACTCTTTACTGACAACTCCTTACTTACAACTCTTTACTTACTAACAACTCCTTACTTACCAACAACTCCTTACTTACTGACAACTCCTTACTCACAACTCCTTACTTACTAACAACTCCTTACTTACTAACAACTCCTTACTTACTAACAACTCCTTACTCACTAACAACTCCTTGCTTACTAACAACTCTTTACTGACAACTCCTTACTAGCAACTCTTTACTTACTAACAACTCCTTACTTTCTAACAATTTTTAAATGTTGGAGGGGTTGCCCCCCTCCCCCCCCCCCCCCCCACCTGAAAATCCTGGCTCCGCCATTGCACACACACACACACAGGTATTAAAAGTTTTTTGTTCGCTTTCAGCACCACGTGAAAATCAGATGAACGTTTCCAAGAATAACAATGCAAGACCGTTTTGTGTTAGACGTGTGGATTCCCCGGGGTGTGGATTCCCGGGGTTTGGATTCCCGGGGTTTGGATTCCCGGGGTTTGGATTCCCGGGGTTTGGATTCCCGGGGTTTGGATTCCCGGGGTGTGGATTCCCGGGGTTTGGATTCTCGGGGTGTGGATTCCCGGGGTTTGGATTCCCGGGGTTTGGATTCCCAGGGTTTGGATTCCCGGGGTTTGGATTCCCGGGGTGTGGATTCCCGGGGTGTGGATTCCCGGGGTGTGGATTCCCGGGGTTTGGATTCCCGGGGTGTGGATTCCCGGGGTTTGGATTCCCGGGGTGTGGATCCTCCCACCCCACCGGGCTGCCCGTTCCGCTGCGTGGTGGAGTTTGCTGCTGCCTGGGGTCCTGGGGGGGGCCGCTCTGCCGACGGCCGCAAGTGAAAGATGACGAGTCGGCGTTTTACTTTCGGTTCGGCGTTTTATTTTTTATTTTTTTTTACACGTGGCCAACAAATTCCCGGTTCCTGAGAATTTCCCTCCCGCCCCGCACCTACCGATTTTTTTGTTTGTTTTTAAATCACGGATGGCTACGTACAGTGTGAAAGAAGTTGGACGTACAACATACATACGGTAAACATACATGCAGTAGGTAATTGATTATCCGGCGACTTCAGGGTGGGGGGAGGAGGGGGGAGTGGGTGCCGGATTTTCAAAAACGCCGGATGATCGCTGCATTATTTTCTTGGTTCATTCGGTAAAGTCACCACGTAGAAGGGAAACGATAAAATAATAAGAATATAAAACGATGGAAATTCTCACGACGTTTTCGACTGCAAGCACAAGCTATCGTCGTCACGGCAAGAACTTTTTTTTATTGTTTTATATTTTTTATTATTTTATTGTTTCCCTTCCACGTGGTGGTGACTTTACTGAAAGAACCAAGAATATGAGTCCCTGCAGTCACGAAAAGCTTCAAATCAAAATGTAATCGCTGCATTATTTAAAAAATAGCTTATTTTTGCGCATTCATGCACAACCTTATGCGTTTAGGTGCTGTTTGTTTCGAGTGTTTTAAAAATATATATATATTTTTTTTACTCAGTGAAATTGGCAGAAATAATATAATCGCTCAAATGAGACGAAAATCCTTGAGTAGAAGGTTACGGTATTTGCCGTGCCACATTTGCCACTCCAACCTCGGCCCCTGCACGGGGTGACGTTACATGGGTACTACTACTACGCTCTGGTGTCAACAACCATGATGTGCGTCTGGACCATCGCCGGACTCGGCTCTGCAGTCTTTGGAGCGGTTTTGCCGGTTTTTTTTGCCGTATTCCGCCCGGAACCGCCGGGCAATCGATGATCAACTGTACGCGCATTTCAGCATGCGTGCGTTCAAAGTGCCGCGCGACCAAGCCTCCCGCGTATATACGGCACGGGCCAGCGGGGAGGTGCTGCCCCCTACTGCATTGTGGGCCAGAGGTGGTGGGGTGGGGAGAGGGTGGGAAGGTGACTTGAAGGGATTTCGGAAGTAGTCCTGCGTTGTCCACTTCCAACAGAATCTGATGAGCTATAAAGCTTTTTTTTTTTCTTAACCTGGCGGCATCGACGAGTTTGCTTGCGTTGAACCAATGCTGCCGATGTTACGTGCGCACTCCCAGAAGGCTGTGCGGGGATGATGAGATGTGCAAAATGAGCAATGACAAACAATCAAAACGTGTTTTGTGCTTCATGTGGAGAGGGGCCGGATATCCGTAAGAGCTGAACAACAGATTTATCCGCATCTCTGGCTTTGTCACCTGATGATGCTGGTTGTTGTTGTTGTTGTTGTGGTTGTTGTTGTTGTAATTACTGGTGGTACATCACGGTACTCGGAATTGTAAATGTTATAGTGGGGTTTACTCTCCAACACACACACACACGACAGCCGGTGTGGTGCTGTACTCGTAACGAATTGGTCACGTGTTGTTTACACGACAACCTTGCCGATTGGCTGTGTCGGGTGGTGGCGGGTTTAACGACACGTGTGTGTGTGTGTGTGTACGTGTACGCGATCTCGCACGAAAGAAACCTCTTGTGGATAATATTTGGTCGTGCGAAAGCTTACGGCCACGTGTTTTAAAACGAAGGAGAGTGTTGTTATTGGCCACTCGTACATTCTGCCGCTTAATAATTCAAATATCTCCGTCGGCGATGGGGAGGGGGGGGGGGAGTTTGTGATTTATTTTTTATTTTGCCGCATCAACGCTGACGAACGTTGAACCTGCCTGGCAACCCAATCGGGGGGGGGGGGTGGTGGGGGGTGGTGAGCAGCTTGCCTTGTGTGCCGGGCTGCCTGGTAACTGTGTGTGTGTGTGCGTGCCGTGTGTGTGTGTGTGCGTGCCGTGTGTGTGTGTGTGCCGTGTGTGTGTGTGCGTGCCGTGTGTGTGTGTGTGCGTGCATGTGCGTGCGTGTCCGCGCGTCTCCAATCTCCGCCCTCCCCACCCACCTAGGCTCACCGCGAGGGAACTTGCTCGCATCCACGCCATCCACGCGCACAACGGCTGCATCCCCAAGCCGAACCTGTGGATGAAGCTGCAGAAGTACTTCTCGCTGGCGGCCGATGGATTCCCGGACCCGAAGGTCCATGCCAGGTAGAGGTTGGTGGTGGTGGGGGGGGGGGGGAGGTGGTTGTGGGGGGGGGGGCAGGGTGGGTAGGAATGGAGGTGGGTGGGGGTTGGGGCAGGGTTTTGAGCGTGCTCATTCGCGACCCTTTGGTGTCGCCCCCTCCTGGTTCGAATCGGATTCGGGGCAGTGGCCCGGATCCGCCGCTTACCCCAGGGACGACGGGCGGGGCTCTGAGCACGCTGCGTCGCTCTTCAGACCTGCAGCTACCCCCCGCCTCGCCCCCACCCGCCCCCCCCCCCCCCCCCCCCGCAACGCTCGTCCAAATTTTAGGATAGTAACGTTTTTGTAATTCATGAAGCCCCCCTTTAAATAATCGTTCTCAGGGGGGGGGCCACCGTGCATGGAAAGAGGCGAAAAATAGTTGAACGTCGACCGAGCAAAGGAAGAAGCGATGCGTTTGAAAGTAACTAGAGAGGGAGAGAGAGAGAGCGTGCGAGACATTCTAAGTCGAGATTTGGAGATGTTGCAAGTGTTGTCTCGGAAGTCGTCCCCTGACCCCTCGAAGGAGCACGAGGGGAGCTCCGGAGTTTAGCTGCCGCGATGTCCACTGGCGCCGTCGCCCCACCACCACGAGCGCGAGGCCGAGAGAGGACCGTGGGGAGCTGAGCGACGCACGCTCGGAGGATCTTGACGACCCTGGCGGAGTTGTACGGCTTAGGGTGGTCGCGAGTGGTATGGAGGATGTTGAGTCCCATTTATCTCGAGGCCTGGAGAATAGCAAGCGAGTGAATCTGAAAATCAGCAACGGGGGTACTAAGGACAGGGTCCGTGACCCCAAATGGGAAAGACTACGCCGCAATTGTGGTCGGGTCGCGGTTACACACGGGCAACTTCGCCAGCCCCCCACGGCGGTGAAACTACCACAGACCAAGACGTAGTCACCAAGATGTAGTCACCAAGACGTAGTCACCAAGATGTAGTCACCAAGACGTAGTCACCAAGACGTAGTCACCAAGACGTAGTCACCAAGATGTAGTAACCAACCAAGACGTAGTCACCAAGACGTAGTCACCAAGATGTAGTAACCAACCAAGACGTAGTCACCAAGACGTAGTCACCAAGATGTAGTAACCAACCAAGAAGTAGTCACCAAGACGTAGTCACCCACCAGCCGTGGTGACGGTGTCACGGTGTGACCCCCCACCAGCCGTGGTGACGGTGTGACTGTGTGACTGTGTGGCGGTGTGACTGTGTGGCTGTGTGACTGTGTGACGGTGTGACGGTGTGACTGTGTGACTGTGTGACTGTGTGGCTGTGTGACTGTGTGACGGTGTGACGGTGTGACCCCCCCCCCACCCAGCCGTGGTGACGGTGTCACGGTGTGACCCCCCCCCACCCAGCTGTGGTGACGTCACGGTGACCCCTCTCTGACCCCTCTCCGCGCCACGAGAACGACGGCTAGCAAACGGCGAGCGACAAATCGATTTCGTGCGAGGAGCGATAATTAAAACATTTTAAAATATTATCTTTTTTTTTTTAAATCTACGCGGCGCTGTAATCCACGTCGCTCCTCCCTCGTCCCGTCCCGGCATTCCCGCGCCGCTCCCCTTCCGCCTAATTTGTAGGTTTCTCTCGGAGGTGCCCAGCCGGGCGGAGCTGGAGAGAGAGATGCTCGGCCTGCAGGAGACGCTCGCCGGCCTGGGCTCTCCCGTCGTGCTCTGCCACAACGACCTGCTCGTCAAGAACATCATCTACAACGCCGACAAAGGTGCGCGGCTGCACCGGCTGCAGTGCCTCCGCGGCACGCACGCGCTACACCTAGATTACACTACACCGAGATTACACTACACCTAGATTATACACACACCTAGATTATACACACACTACACCTAGATTACACTACACCTAGATTATACACACACCTAGATTACACTACACCTAGATTACACTACACCTAGATTATACTACACCTAGATTATACACACACTACACCTAGATTATACACACACCTAGATTACACTACACCTAGATTACACTACACCTAGATTACACTACACCTAGATTATACTACACCTAGATTACACTACACCTAGATTATACACACACTACACCTAGATTATACACACACCTAGATTACACTACACCTAGATTATACACACACCTAGATTATACACACACCTAGCTTACACACACACCGAGATTACACTACACCTAGATTACACACACACCGAGATTACACTACACCTAGATTACACACACACCGAGATTACACTACACCTAGATTACACTACACCTAGATTATACACACACCTAGATTACACTACACCTAGCTTACACACACACCGAGATTACACTACACCTAGATTATACACACACCTAGATTATACACACACTACACCTAGATTATACACACACCTAGATTACACTACACCTAGATTACACTACACCTAGATTATACACACACCTAGATTACACTACACCTAGATTACACTACACCTAGATTATACACACACCTAGATTACACTACACCTAGATTACACACACACCTAGATTACACTACACCTAGATTACACTACACCTAGATTATACACACACCTAGATTACACACACACCGAGATTATACTACACCTAGATTATACACACACCTAGATTACACTACACCTAGCTTACACACACACCGAGATTACACTACACCTAGATTACACTACACCTAGATTACACTACACCTAGATTACACTACACCTAGATTACACTACACCTAGATTACACTACACCTAGATTACACTACACCTAGATTACACTACACCTAGGTTACACTACACCTAGATTACACTACACCTAGATTACACTACACCTAGATTACACTACACCTAGATTATACACACACACCTAGATTATACACACACCTAGATTACACTACACCTAGATTACACTACACCTAGATTACACTACACCTAGATTACACTACACCTAGATTACACTACACCTAGATTACACACACACCTAGATTACACTACACCTAGATTACACTACACCTAGATTACACTACACCTAGATTACACTACACCTAGATTACACTACACCTAGATTACACACACACCTAGATTACACTACACCTAGATTACACTACACCTAGATTACACTACACCTAGATTACACTACACCTAGATTACACACACACCTAGATTACACACACACCTAGATTACACTACACCTAGATTACACTACACCTAGATTACACTACACCTAGATTACACTACACCTAGATTACACACACACCGAGATTACACTACACCTAGATTACACTACACCTAGATTACACTACACCTAGATTACACACACACCTAGATTACACACACACCTAGATTACACTACACCTAGATTACACTACACCTAGATTACACTACACCTAGATTACACTACACCTAGATTACACTACACCTAAATTACACTACACCTAGATTACACACACACTACACCTAGATTACACTACACCTAGGTTACACTACACCTAGATTACACTACACCTAGATTACACTACACCTAGATTACACACACACCTAGATTACACACACACCTAGATTACACTACACCTAGATTACACACACACTACACCTAGATTACACACACACTACACCTAGATTACACTACACCTAGATTACACTACACCTAGATTACACTACACCTAGATTACACTACACCTAGATTACACTACACCTAGATTACACTACACCTAGATTACACTACACCTAGATTACACTACACCTAGATTACACTACACCTAGATTACACTACACCTAGATTACACTACACCTAGATTACACTACACCTAGATTACACTACACCTAGATTACACGCACTACACCTAGATTACACGCACACCTAGATTACACACACACTACACCTAGATTACACACACACTACACCTAGATTACACGCACACTACACCAAGATTACACACACTACACCTAGATTACACTACACCTAGATTACACGCACTACACCTAGATTACACGCACACCTAGATTACACGCACTACACCTAGATTACACTACACCTAGATTACACTACACCTAGATTACACGCGCTACACCTAGATTACACGCACACCTAGATTACACACATACTACACCTAGATTACACGCACTACACCTAGATTACACGCACACCTAGATTACACTACACCTAGATTACACTACACCTAGATTACACTACACCTAGATTACACTACACCTAGATTACACTACACCTAGATTACACTACACCTAGATTACACACGCACTACACCTAGATTACACGCACACACACACACCCCTAGCTTACACACGCACTACACCTAGATTACACGCACACCTAGATTACACGCACACTACACCTAGATTACACGCACACTACACCTAGATTACATACATACTACACCTAGATTACACGCACACTACACCTAGATTACATACATACTACACCTAGATTACACGCGCACTACACCTAGATTACACGCACACTACACCTATATTACACACACTACACCAAGATTACATACACACTACACCTAGATTACACGCACACTACACCTAGATTACACGCACACCTAGCTTACACACACACTACACCTAGATTACACACACACTACACCTAGATTACACACACACTACACCTAGATTACACACACACTACACCTAGATTACACACACACTACACCTAGATTACACGCACACTACACCAAGATTACACACACTACACCTAGATTACATGCACACCTAGATTATAGACACGCACACCTAGCTTACACACACACTACACCTATCTTACACACACACTACACCTAGCTTACACACGCACTACACCTAGATTAAACACGCACTACACCTAGATTACACGCGCACTACACCTAGCTTCCACACACACACCCCTAGCTTCCACACACACACACACACACCCCTAGCTTCCACACACACACACACACCCCTAGCTTCCACACACACACCTAGCTTCCACACACACCTAGATTACACACACACACCTAGCTTCCACACACACCTAGATTACACACACTACACCTAACTTACACACACACTACACCTAGCTTACACACACACACCCCTAGCTTCCACACACACACACACCCCTAGCTTCCACACACACACACACACCCCTAGCTTCCACACACACCTAGCTTACACACACACCTAGATTACACACACACCTAGCTTACACACACACCTAGATTACACACTACACCTAGCTTACACACACTACACCTACCTTACATACTACACCTAGATTATACACACACACACCCATAGCTTGCACACACACTACACCTAGATAACACACACACCTAGATTACACACACACACCTCTAGCTTACAAATGCGCTACACCTAGATTACACACTACACCTAGCTTACACACACACCCCTATCTTATACACACACTACACCTAGCTTACACATGCACTACACCTAGCTTACACACTACACCTAGCTTACACGCACACCTAGATTACACACACACACACTACACCTAGCTTACACACACACTACACATAGCTTACACACACACCTAGCTTACACACACCTAGCTTACACACACACCTAGCTTACACACACACCTAGATTACACACACACCTAGATTACACACACACCTAGATTACACACACACCTAGATTACACACACACCTAGATTACACACACACACACACTACACCTAGCTTACACACACACTACACATAGCTTACACACACACCTAGCTTACACACACTCCTAGATTACACACACACACCCCTAGCTTACATACACACACACACCCCTAGATTACACACGCACTACACCTAGATTACACACACACTACACCTAGCTTACACGCACTACATCTAGATTACACACGCACTACACCTAGATTACACACACTACACCTAGATTACACACACACACCCCTAGTTTACATACACACTACACCTAGCTTACACACACACACCTAGCTTACACACCTAGCTTACACACGCACTACACCTAGATTATACACACACACCCCTAGATTACACACACACCTAGATTACACACACACTACACCTAGCTTACACGCACACTTCACCTAGATTATACACACACACACCCCTAGCTTACACACACACCTAGCTTACACACACACCTAGCTTACACACACACTACACCTAGATTACACACACACTACACCTAGATTACACACACACACTACACCTAGCTTACACATGCACTACTCCTAGATTACACACACCTAGATTACACACATACTACACCTAGCTTACACACACACACCCATAGCTTACACATACACCACACCTAGATTACACACACTACACCTAGATTACACACACACTACACCTAGTTTACACACTCACTACACCTAGATTACACACACACTACACCTAGCTTACACACACACACCTAGATTACACACACACCTAGATTACACACACACACCTAGATTACACACACACACACCTAGATTACACACACACACACTACACCTAGCTTACACAGATGCACACCTAGATTACACACACACCTAGATTACACACACACTACACCTAGATTACACACACACTACACCTAGCTTACACACACTACACCTAGCTTACACACACACACACACCTAGATTACACACACACACACCTAGATTACACACACACACACCTAGATTACACACACACCTAGATTACACACACACCTAGATTACACACACACACCTAGATTACACACACACACCTAGATTACACACACACCTAGATTACACACACACCTAGATTACACACACACCTAGATTACACACACACACCTAGATTACACGCACACACACCTAGCTTACACACACACTACACCTAGCTTACACACATACACACACACACTACACCTAGCTTACACACACACACACCTAGCTTACACACACACCTATCCCCAACGTCACACGTTTAAACTATTTGCTGCTGCTGCTGTGAATGTCCACGCGGCGATGACGATGATGTCGGCGAAGCCCCCCCCCCCCAACGCTGCTGAGCGAACGCTTGTGGCCCCCGGTCGCTTCTCGAAGGGAACACACACACACAAAAAAAAATGGTTCATAGTTTAAATAAACAGTGCTAGTTTAAATCCGGTGCTTACAGGCTCTGCCGACAAGTCTGAACCGGTATCTCGCCGCCTGTATCCCCCCTACGAGCCGACGGCTCGGACCGGGGTGTGGTGGTGGTGGGGGGAGGGGGGGGGGGGCTGTGGGTGAACAGAGCAGCCGTGTGTGGACCGGCAGGTGACTTTGTGCGCTTCTCTCCTGCTATCCGGCAGCCGTTGTCGCCCCGGAACGGCGCCGTGCAGCGCGCAAGTTGCCGATTGCGCGTTTTGGTTGTTGTTGTTGTGGTTGTTGTTGTGGTTGTGGTTGTTGTTGTTGTGGTTGTGGTTGTGGTTGTTGTTGTGGTTGTTGTTGTTGTTGTGGTTGTTGTTGTGGTTGTTGTTGTTGTGGTTGTTGTTGTTGTGGTTGTTGTTGTGGTTGTTGTTGTTAGTTGCCTGCGGGTGGCGACCGCCACACGCCCTTCGTGAGTTCGGCGTGTCCTGCCGTGTCCGTGACGTGCCGTGCCGTAACGTGCCGTGCCGTGCCGTGCCGTGCCGTGCCGACGCCCGTTGCAGAGCGACACGCGTTCCTTCTTCCGGCGATTTCTCGATTCTTTGGCAATGGATGAAATAAATAAACTGACTCCGCAGGCGGGGGTGGGTGGTGGTGAGTCAGGGGAGCCGGTGGGGGTTTATGGGGCCGGCGTTGTCTATCCACGTAACGCGACGGTGCCGTCTATTTGTCGATTTATTTCCCTTCTGACTTTGTCAATTTTGTACTCGGCGTCGGTTTTATCGCCTCGCGCTTTCCGCTCTGCCGTCACGGTTTCAAGGGCATCGCTCTCTCTCAAGGGCTTCCTCCGACCTGCGGTTCGCCCGGCGTGAAACCCTTCGCCACGGGACCTTCTGAACATTTCGGTCGCTAGGAGATCGTTAACTACCTCGCCCTGGTACGCAGGGGGTCGTGGGTTCGCTTCCCGACCCCGACGACTGCTGCTGTGTATTTGGAGTTTGCTGTGTCTCTCTCTCTCTCATCATCATCATCATCACCGTGGCTAGGAGATGTTAACTACCTCGCCCTGGTACGCAGGAGGTCGTGGGTTCGATCCCGACCCTGACGACTGCTGTGTATTTGGCGTTTGCTGTGTGTCTCTCTCTCATCATCATCATCATCACGGTGGCTAGGATATGTTAACTACCTCGCCTGGTACCCAGGAGGTCGTGGGTTAAATGTTGACCCTGACACCTGCTGTTTATTTGGAGTTTGCGGTGTCTCTCTCTTCATCATCATCATCACAATGGCTGGGATATGTTAACTACCTCGTTCTGCTATACAGGAGGTCGTGGGTTCATTCCCGACGCTGACACCTGCTGTATATTTGGAGTTTGCAGTGTCTCATCATCATCATCATCACAATGGCTAGGAGATGTTAACTACCTCGCCCTGGTACGCAGGGGGTCGTGGGTTCGCTTCCCGACCCTGACGACTGCTGCTGTGTATTTGGAGTTTGCTGTGTGTCTCTCTTTCATCATCATCATCATCACCGTGGCTAGGAGATGTTAACTACCTCGCCTGGTACGCAGGAGGTCGTGGGTTAAATCTTGACCCTGACACCTGCTGTTTATTTGGAGTTTGCGGTGTCTCTCTTCATCATCATCATCACAATGGCTAGGAGATGTTAACTACCTCGCCTGGTACGCAGGAGGTCGTGGGTTAAATCTTGACCCTGACACCTGCTGTTTATTTGGAGTTTGCGGTGTCTCTCTTGATCATCATCATCACAATGGCTGGGAGATGTTAACTACCTCGCCCTGCTATACAGGAGGTCGTGGGTTCATTCCCAACGCTGGTATCTGCTGTATATTTGGAGTTTGCAGTGTCTCATCATCATCATCATCACAATGGCTAGGAGATGTTAACTACCTCGCCTGGTATGCAGGAGGTCGTGGGTTCATTCCCGACGCTGACATCTGCTGCTGTATATTTGGAGTTTGCGGTGTCTCTCTCTCCCCTCGTGGTCTCACATGGTTTTTCCCCGGTTCTCCGGTTTCCCCTCCCCCCCCCCCCCCTCTCCACATTTTAGAAAAATGGACATCTCCATGCTCCTGAAAAATTGTGGGCAAGACCAAGAGTGTTTTTTGTTGGCCGTAAGGGAGAGACCTCTTTGCCCCCACCATAGGAATGTGGAATTAACATCATCATTATCATCATCACGGTGGCTAGGAGATGTTAACTACCTCGCCTGGGTACGCAGGAGGTCCGTGGGTTCGATCCCGACCCCTGACGCCCGCCGCTGCTGCTGTATATTTGGAGTTGGCACGTCCGTCTCCCCGTGATCGTGCGACTCCAACCCGCACGTCTGTTTTTGGTTGCGGTTGTCGTGGGTACCTGCAGGCACCGTGCGGTTCATTGATTACGAGTACGCAAGCTACAACTACCAGGCCTACGACATCGGAAACCACTTCAACGAGTTTGCAGGTGAGAAGGAGGTCGATTCGTCACGCGGTGTGAGCTAAACTTAAACTTTTTTTAAATTTTACCGGTGGGGGGGGGGGGGGTTGGGGCGGGGGGTGGGTGGGTAAGACCCACCGCCACCACCCGACACTGCCAATTAGCAAGGTTTGTGTCGCGCGAACAGAACGCTCGCCCGTACGTCGCGAACGATGGCTGCTCGCTCAACGAAGTCGTGGCTTTGTCGTCGTCACCGCGTGGGGAAAAAATGTGGAGCAGCAGGAACAGCAGGAGCAGCAGCAGGAGCAGGAGCAGCAGGAGCAGCAGGAGCAGCAGCAGGAGCAGGAGCAGCAGCAGCAGCAGGAGCAGCAGCAGCAGCAGCCCAACACAGACAATCCCGGGTCGTGAACTGACCCGACCTTACGGAAATCCGACGTTCCGGAAATTCTCCCTTTTTTAAATCGCATTAAATGTTTGCCTTCGTAGTTAGGCGAGCACAAAGTAGTGCGGCGCGGTGAGGCTCGCGGATGAATACCGCGTAGCGAGGAGGCGTGGGGGGGGGCGGCGGGGGGGGGGGGGGGGGGGGGGGGGGCAGAGCCTCCGTACGCCGCGCGAGGATTACGGTCAACGGAATTTACCTTTTTGATTTTGGCGAAAAATTTGTTCGGTTTTCCGACACACGGAAAATTCGGGTTACGGATCGTTCGCGGGAACCTCTAACCCCCCCCCCCCCCCCCCCCCCCCAATACCGTAACCCGGGGGGTGCCAATACTCTTTAACGGGGAGCGAGCGAGGGAGAGGGAGCGAGGGAGAGAGAGAGAGAGAGGGTTCTCACTCGGAAAATGCGTGCCGTTGCTACGCTCGTTTCTGAACACCGGTGCGATTAGAGTGCGCGGAGCGATGCGGTTAACACGGCGGCGTTACACCCTCGGTTATCCGCAATGGGGGGGTTTCTTTGTTGACGTTGGGTTGGATGGCTTAAGTCTCAACGTGCCGTTAAACCCGCCCCCGCAGCCGCCGCCACACGTCGACACGGCCAATTAGAAAGGTTTGTCACGTAAACAAAACGTGCCGATGCGTTACTAGTACAGCACCGCCGGTTGTGTGTTGGAGAGTGAAGCGCACAACACTCGGCAAGCTCGCCCACTCGCTTACTCTTCACACTCGCCACACTGGAGGTCACGGCACTGTCGTGCTCGCTCACTCACACGTTCACCAACTCGCTCACCCACTCACCAACTCGCTCACCCGCTCACTTGCCCACTCACCAACTCGCTCACCCGCTCACTCACACATTCACCCACTCGCTCACCCGCTCACTCACCCACTCACCAACTCGCTCACCCGCTCACTCACACATTCACCCACTCGCTCACCCGCTCACTCACCCACTCACCAACTCGCTCACCCACTCACTCACTCACCAACTTAACAACTCGCCACACTGCAGGCCACAGCACTGCTTGCTCGCTCACCAACTCACTCGCTCACCAACTCACTCGCTCACCCACTCACTCGCTCACCAACTCACCACACTGCAGGTCACAGTACTGCTTGCTCGCTCACCCACTCACTCGCTCACCCACTCACTCGCTCACCCACTCACTCGCTCACCCACTCACTCGCTCACCAACTCACCACACTGCAGGTCACAGCACTTCATGCTCGCCTCCTCACCAACTCGCTCGCCCACTCACCAACTCGCTCACCCACTCAGCAACTCGCTCACCCACTCAGCAACTCGCTCACCCACTCACCAACTCGCTCGCCCACCCCGCTCACCGCACTGCAGTTCACAGCACTTGTCTTCCTGCTTCTTCCCTCGCCCCGCTCCGCTTTGTGATCCATCTCCCGTCGCCTCTTCCTGAAGCTCTCTCTCCGTAATCCCCTTTTGCCCGATTTTAATTCAACAGTCGCGTCCAGCTAGAACCGGCCGGGACGGATGACGATGCTTTTCTTTTTTTGCACCTTTTGATGTTTTGGTGAAGTTCTTCGAAGGACGCAGTGGATTTGTTACACGGCGCGGGGGGGGGGGGGGGCGGGGGGCGGGGGCGTGGGGGGGGGGGCGAGGTCGACTCTGCTTCAAATGAGCGCCTGGTGCGGTGTGGAGTGAACGGTCGCCACTGGGGGGAGAAACGAAAGTGGCCGGGCGGGCGAGGGTACCGGCCAGCCAGAGACCCACATTGGTGTGCCGTTCCGGCCTCGCGCAGGCGCTCTCCTTGAACACCGCTCGCCCCAACAGTCTGTTAAGGCGAGACCGGGGGTATCTTCGTCTTCGTGCGAGGAGTGGTGGGGCAGCGGTTGGCGCGCGGCGATACAAAAACCCCCTTGCGAAACCCCCCCCGGGTTCGACTCGCGCTCACGGCCACCGACACCGGCGGCGATTATCCGAACCGCTCCCGGGCCCTCCCCTAGGTCGACTCGGGCCTCGAATGAGTACCCGGTGCAGAGTGTGGCGCAGTACCCGTCGCTCACTGGGGGAGACACGGGCCTCCCGGGCACGCTTGCCGGCCACCCCCCCCCCCCCCCCCCCCGCACACCTCCCTTTTGGCGTGCCGTTCCGGCCTTCGCCGGTGCCGCTCGCCAACGGCACTTGGCCCCAACGGCCTGTCGCGGTCGGTACGGGGGGAGCGTGTGGCACGGGACGCTGTCGGCGTGCGCGACATCTACGTGTGTAGCAGTGCTGAACTTCTCTCGCCCAGGCCGTGCTAATCCTTAGCGATGGGTGTATCGACGTGTGTGTGTGTGTGTGTGCGTGTGTGTGTGTGTGCGTTGTTCCCAGGGGTGAGCGACGTCGACTACAGCCTGTACCCCGACAAGGAGCTGCAGTTCCGCTGGCTGAGGGCCTACCTGGAGGCCTACAAGGAGTTCACCAAGAACCCCGGCCGCTCCGTGGCCGACGCGGACGTCCAGAGGCTCTACGTCCACGTCAGCAAGTTCTCCCTGGCGAGTGGCGGTGACCCCCCCCCCCCTCTCCCCCCCCCCCCCCCTCTCCTCCCCACCCCCACGCCCCCCACGCTGCTCATTCGTTCCGTAGTCCGGCCGCGGTTGACAGCGGTCGGGACGTACGCCGTCGGCTTCCGGTTCTCTCCCCGATGTGGCGTGGTCACACACGTACCTGACACACACACGCGGGTACACCCGGTGGGCGTGGTCACACACGTACCTGACACACACACACGGACACACCCGGTGGGCGTGGTCACACACGTACCTGACACACACACACGTGGGTACACCCGGTGGGCGTGGTCACACACGTACCTGACACACACACACGTGGGTACACCCGGTGGGCGTGGTCACACACACACGGGTACACCCGGTGGGCGTGGTCACACACGTACCTGACACACACACACGTGGGTACACCCGGTGGGCGTGGTGACACACGTACCTGACACACACACACGCGGGTACACCCGGTGGGCGTGACAACACACGTACCTGACACACACACACGGGTACACCCGGTGGGCGTGGTCACACACGTACCTGACACACACACACGCGGGTACACCCGGTGGGCGTGGTCACACACGTACCTGACACACACGCGGGTACACCCGGTGGGCGTGGTCACACACGTACCTGACACACACACACGTGGGTACACCCGGTGGGCGTGACAACACACGTACCTGACACACACACACGCGGGTACACCCGGTGGGCGTGGTCACACACGTACCTGACACACACACACGCGGGTACACCCGGTGGGCGTGGTCACACACGTACCTGACACACACACACGCGGGTACACCCGGTGGGCGTGACAACACACGTACCTGACACACACACACGCGGGTACACCCGGTGGGCGTGGTCACACACGTACCTGACACACACACGGACACACCCGGTGGGCGTGGCAACACACAACCAGACACACACGCGGGTACACCCGGTGGGCGTGGTCACACACGCACCTGACACACACACACGCGGGTACACCCGGTGGGCGTGACAACACACGTACCTGACACACACACACGCGGGTACACCCGGTGGGCGTGGTCACACACGTACCTGACACACACACACGCGGGTACACCCGGTGGGCGTGGTCACACACGTACCTGACACACACACACGCGGGTACACCCGGTGGGCGTGACAACACACGTACCTGACACACACACACGCGGGTACACCCGGTGGGCGTGACAACACACGTACCTGACACACACACACGCGGGTACACCCGGTGGGCGTGGTCACACACGTACCTGACACACACACACGCGGGTACACCCGGTGGGCGTGGTCACACACGTACCTGACACACACACACGCGGGTACACCCGGTGGGCGTGACAACACACGTACCTGACACACACACACGCGGGTACACCCGGTGGGCGTGGTCACACACGTACCTGACACACACACGGACACACCCGGTGGGCGTGGCAACACACAACCAGACACACACGCGGGTACACCCGGTGGGCGTGGTCACACACGCACCTGACACACACACACGCGGGTACACCCGGTGGGCGTGACAACACACGTACCTGACACACACACACGCGGGTACACCCGGTGGGCGTGGTCACACACGTACCTGACACACACACACGCGGGTACACCCGGTGGGCGTGGTCACACACGTACCTGACACACACACACGCGGGTACACCCGGTGGGCGTGACAACACACGTACCTGACACACACACACGCGGGTACACCCGGTGGGCGTGACAACACACGTACCTGACACACACACACGCGGGTACACCCGGTGGGCGTGGTCACACACGTACCTGACACACACACACGCGGGTACACCCGGTGGGCGTGGTCACACACGTACCTGACACACACACACGCGGGTACACCCGGTGGGCGTGACAACACACGTACCTGACACACACACACGCGGGTACACCCGGTGGGCGTGACAACACACGTACCTGACACACACACACGTGGGTACACCCGGTGGGCGTGACAACACACGTACCTGACACACACACACGTGGGTACACCCGGTGGGCGTGGTCACACACGTACCTGACACACACACACGCGGGTACACCCGGTGGGCGTGACAACACACGTACCTGACACACACACACGCGGGTACACCCGGTGGGCGTGGTCACACACGTACCTGACACACACGGACACACCCGGTGGACGTGGTCACACACGTACCTGACACACACACACGCGGGTACACCCCCCACGCCTCCGATCCCGTCCTCTCCACACCGAGCGTGACGCTGAAACTTTGCGCGGTACAAATCCCAAACCGACAGCGTTATTAGATGGGGGGTGGGGGGTGGTGGTGGTCTTTTAACCTCACGGGGAGGCGGGGTGGAATGTCCTACTATGGATAGTTTTTCCCCCCCCCCTCCTCGCCATAGGAATGAGGAATTTCCACGACCGACCCTGACCGCTCGACCCCGCGGGTCTCCGTTTGTCTCCTTGCAGGTGTCGCACTACTTCTGGGGCCTGTGGTCCTTGATCCAAGCAAAGTATTCCACCATCGACTTCGACTTCCTGGGGTGAGCTTCCAACTTGGCGCCCGCGACAGTTTGTCTTCAAGCGCCGACGCTCGTCTGTTCTGTCGGTGAAGAGAACCGGTGGTGTGTGTGTGTGTGTGTCCACGTGGTGGTGTGTCTGTGTGTGTGTACCCACGTGGTCTGTCTGTGTGTGTGTACCCACGTGGTGTGTGTGTGTGTACCCACGTGGTGGTGTGTGTGTGTGTGTGTGTACCCACGTGGTGGTGTGTCTGTGTGTGTGCCCACGTGGTGGTGGTGTGTGTGTGTGTGTGTCCACGTGGTGTGTGTGTGTCCACGTGGTGGTGTGTGTGTGTGTACCCACGTGGTGGTGTGTGTGTGTGTACCCACGTGGTGGTGTGTGTGTGTGTACCCACGTGGTGGTGTGTGTGTGTGTACCCACGTGGTGGTGTGTGTGTGTGTACCCACGTGGTGGTGTGTGTGTGTGTACCCACGTGGTGGTGTGTGTGTGTGTGTGTACCCACGTGGTGGTGTGTGTGTGTGTGTGTACCCACGTGGTGTGTGTGTGTGTGTGTACCCACGTGGTGTGTGTGTGTGTGTGTACCCACGTGGTGATGGTGTGTGTGTACCCACGTGGTGATGGTGTGTGTGTACCCACGTGGTGGTGTGTGTGTGTGTGTACCCACGTGGTGTGTGTGTGTGTGTGTACCCACGTGGTGTGTGTGTGTGTGTGTACCCACGTGGTGTGTGTGTGTGTGTGTACCCACGTGGTGATGGTGTGTGTGTGTGTGTGTGTACCCACGTGGTGGTGTGTGTGTGTGTGTGTACCCACGTGGTGGTGTGTGTGTGTACCCACGTGGTGGTGTGTGTGTGTACCCACGTGGTGGTGTGTGTGTGTGTGTACCCACGTGGTGGTGTGTGTGTGTGTGTGTACCCACGTGGTGGTGTGTGTGTGTGTGTACCCGCGTGGTGGTGTGTGTGTGTGTGTACCCGCGTGGTGGTGTGTGTGTGTGTGTACCCGCGTGGTGGTGTGTGTGTGTGTGTACCCACGTGGTGGTGTGTGTGTGTGTGTACCCACGTGGTGGTGTGTGTGTGTGTCCGCCTGGTGGTGGTGTGTGTGTGTCCGCCTGGTGGTGGTGTGTGTGTGTGTGTGCCCACGTGGTGGTGTGTGTGTGCCCACGTGGTGGTGTGTGTGTGTGTGCCCACGTGGTGGTGTGTGTGTGTGCCCACGTGGTGTGTGTGTGTGCCCGTGTGGTGGTGGTGTGTGTGTGTGCCCACGTGGTGGTGGTGGTAATGGACCTGCGTGGTGGTGGTGGTGGTGTGCCCACAGCTACGCCATCGTCCGCTTCACGCAGTACCGGGAGACGAAGCCTCACGTCATGGCTCTGGAGGCGCCGCTCTAGAAGATTGTCCCGCTGCTCTCCAAACCTCGTGACGCACGACAGCCACACACACGTACACGCTCACACACACGCTCGCACAGACACACGCACGCTAGCACAGACACACGCACGCTCACACAGACACACGCACGCTCACACAGACACACGCACGCTCGCACAGACACACGCACGCTCGCACAGACACATGCACGCTCACACAGACACACACACGCACGCTCACACACGCACGCTCGCACAGACACACGCACGCTCACACACACACACGCACGCTCACACACACACACGCACTCGCGCGCACACACACGCGAAAACCGACCTCGGCACAAAACGGCAATCGCTGGCCGCGAAAAACACATTCCCAAATGGGTCAGGCCCCGTGGTTGCACACGGAGCAAGGTGAATTATTGTCGTTTTAAAAGAACCGCGCATTCGCGCTTAATCATTACTCGCCCGCTCCTTGGCTTCTTCACACCCCGCCCCCCGCCCCAGCCCCCGCCCCAGCCCCAGCCCCCGCCCCAGCCCCCGCCCCAGCCCCAGCCCCCGCCCCAGCCCCTGCCCCCGCCCCAGCCCCAGCCCCCGCCCCCGCCCCAGCCCTTTCACCGCTGCCCCGCGCCCAGCGGCAGGCCTCCGTGATCTCCGTCATCGGACCACAGGTCTGGGCGCAGGCTCCTGCCGTTCGCCGGCCCGGCCGACGGTTCCCCGCGGCGTCGCGATGCGGCCCCCCCCCCCCCTCCCTCCTCTCTCAACCCGCCCCCTCCCTCCTCTCTCAACCCGCCCCCCCCCTCCCTCCTCTCTCAACCCGCCCCCCACTAACTCTCCCAACCCCCCGCCCCCCGAGCACTTTTCTGATTGAAGCGTAGCGTGGCGGAGGGAGTACGCCACTTTGGGGACCAGCAGTCGGCAACCAACGGTGCCATTGCGTTGGTGAGGGAGGTGGGGATGGGGGGCAGGAGAGATGCGTGGAGTTTGCGTTTCTTGAGACCAAACCGTGCCTCGGTAGCTCCCGCCCCCCCCCCCCCCCGCCCCCCGCTGTGGCAATCTGAGCCTTGCTGTTGCCGTGTTGTTAGCCGGCGGTTGTGGTTTAGTCCGCCCCCCTTTTACTACACCACCCACCTCCCCCCCCCCCCCCTTAACGAAACCAAATTTTTGCTCGTGGTCCCCCCACACACACCCACCCCCCCCACCCCGTGAACTCCAGAGGTGGGGGGGGGGGGGGGGGCGGTGGGGTGTAGTGACCCCGTGAGACGTTACACCCCCCTCCCCCAACCCCCATCGTCACAGCTCGCCAGCGCTGGGGTTTTCTTGGGGGGCGGAGACCAACTCCCACACCCTGGTGACTTAAGTCTCTTAGTGACTCCGTCTTAGTTACAACAATCCCCGCCCCCTCCCCGCTGCCAGCAGAGGGGGGCGGGCGGGGGGGGGGGGCCCCCCTTTACCCCCTCGACACGCAAAAAAAAAACCAAATTTTCCCCGCCTTTGCTATATTTTTTTTTCCGTCTTTTTGTCCTCAAAAGTACTTTAAACGCCCTCGTTTTGAATGTCAGGGGCCACGGGCCTCGCGTGTGTGTGCGTGTGTGTGTGCGTGTGTGTGTGCGTGTGCGTGCGTCCGCGCGGCTAGATTTGTCGAAGCGAAATATAGGTCCTTGACGTCGCGAGCCGTTGGTAGATCCTCGTACACGCGACACCACCCCCACCCCCCACCCCGTGCCCCTTCCGTTGTTTTTCGTCTCTCGTGTTTCCCCCCCCACCATCCCCACCATCCCCCCCACCATCCCCACCATCCCCCCCACCATCCCCACCACCATCCCCACCATCCCCACCACCATCCCCACCATCCCCACCATCCCCCCCCACCATCCCCACCATCCCCACCATCCCCACCATCCCCCCCACCATCCCCACCACCATCCCCACCATCCCCACCACCATCCCCACCATCCCCACCATCCCCCCCACCATCCCCACCATCCCCCCCACCATCCCCACCATCCCCCCCACCATCCCCCCCACCATCCCCACCACCATCCCCCCCACCATCCCCACCATCCCCCCCACCATCCCCCCCACCATCCCCACCACCATCCCCACCATCCCCACCACCATCCCCACCATCCCCACCATCCCCCCCACCATCCCCACCATCCCCACCATCCCCACCACCCCCCCCACCACCATCCCCACCATCCCCACCACCATCCCCACCATCCCCACCATCCCCCCCACCATCCCCACCATCCCCCCCACCATCCCCCCCACCATCCCCCCCACCATCCCCACCACCATCCCCCCCACCATCCCCCCCACCATCCCCCCCACCATCCCCCCCACCATCCCCCCCACCATCCCCCCCACCATCCCCCCCACCATCCCCCCCACCATCCCGCGATATTTCCCCACGGAGGGAGTGAGCACCTTAACGATGTTATTTATGTGTTGTGTAAAAACAAAAAATTAACGTCAGCCGTCGTCGAAGCCCAACGGAATGCCATTATTAATTTTTTCTCCTTCTGCTTCTGCTGCTGCTGCTTCCGATTCTTCTTCGCGGGCGTAACCAAAACGGGGGGCGGGGGGGGGGCGGGGGGGGGGGGGCGGTCGTTACGGAAAAGCACGGAGAGCCGGAGGTGGGAAGGGAAGGGTGGGGGGGGTGGAAACTATTTATCTGGTTGGTGAAAAAGAATGTGATTATCTGTCTCTCTCTCTCTCTGTCTCTCTGTCGTCTCCTACACAAGTGTTGTAGAAGGCAGGTTGCAAGACGCTGTGATAGTATTGTGCTCTTTCGATTTGAGGCTTTCGTGGACTGCAAGGATTCATCTTCTGTTGGTTCTTTCGGCAAAGTCGCCACCACGTAGAATGAGAATGAAATAATAAATTGATAAAATAAAATAACGGAAATAAGTAACGCGATAAAATTCTCACCTGACGAAGGGCGCTTGTGTCGTGGCCCGAAACGTCGCGAGAATTTCATTGTGTTATTTTATTGTATCAATGTATTATTTCATTCTCACTCTACGTGGTGGTGACTTCACCGAAAGAACCAAGGAAGAATCATTGTGCTCTGCTGCCACGTCCCATTTTTTTTTTGTTTTGATCCGTCGGCGACGCTAACGAGCGTGTCACGGATTATTATTTTTTTATTTTTTCCCCTTTGCCCCCCCCCCTTCCCCCCCCGACGGCTCGGTCCCGCGATGCCTCGCCCCGTCCAGCCCCGCTGGGTTTCGCGACCTTCGTGAGTCGCCTTCCCGCCGCGGCGGTGCTGCCGGTTTCAAAGCCCGCGGCCGACGTGAGGGTTCGCCTGTGTTTTAATTTTGTTTTCGCATTGGCAGAAAGCGTCTCCTTGATCTCGCCCGCCCCACCGACGTGATTCGCCGGTCGTAGGTCGTGCGTTGTGGTGCGAGTCTGCCCCCCCCCCTCCCCCCCCCTCCCCACCACCAGCGTCGACTCTCATTGTGGGGGGCGGGCGGGGGGGGGGCAGGGATAGCTGCAGTTGTGAACAGCGACACCAGCCCCCCGCCCCGTCCCTTGGGCACGTGGCGAATCCGGGCGACTGCCCTGGGCCCTCCGATTTGCGGGGCCCCCGTAAATCCCGCCACCCCCCCCCCCCCCCCCCCGCTATGAGAATTGCCCTGGGTGGGTGTGTACTCTGGGGGGAGGGGTTTGGTGTTACGAGAAGTGACCGGTACAGCGGTGTGTAACAGGTGGCGCGAGGTACACAAACAAGACGTGGGAGCTGCCTTGGTAATTGGGATTGCCACCCTTGGGATGGAACTGCGCCAGGATCTTCTGCTGATGGCCAAGCGGGACACGGCACCACCTGTGCCAGGCGCAAAGCGATTTTATTTCAGGGGACGCTGGCTGTTCAGTACTGAGGGTGCCCGGTGGGTGGTGTAGCTGAGTAAGCCAGCGAGAGTGGGTGGCTGTGTGGGCGAGTGAGTGGCTGAGTAGGCGGGGTGGCTGGGTGAGCGGCCGAGTGAATTGGTGAGGTCATTGGGCGGTGTTGTTGTTGTTTTGGAAGCCAGTGGATATGTGGAGAATTAAACGTTAAGACGTTTCGGAAGTGCTGGGGGGGGGGGTGGTGGAGGTGGTGTTTGGGGGGGGGGCGAGTGTTCCGCAGCCCTGTTGGTAGCGCGGGGGGGGGGGGGCAGGGGGTGGTTCTGAGAGAGCATTCCAGTTGATGAAGGCGAAATAAAAACCACGCACGTGTTTGTAATTATTTAGTTGTAATTATTTAGTTGTAATTAATTGGTTCGCTTGCAACAAAGAGAAATAATGAATTAATCGCGCGCGGAACGCCGTCCTTTTTAAACGTTCCTGAAGCGTCCATCATTTTTCGGCGCAGCGTTTATTGCCGGCTTTCCCAGCTTTCCCGAATATTAACATTATTATTATTTATTAAGTTTCGCTTGTTCACCCAAAGTGTGTGTGTGTGTGTGTGCGGGGTGGGTGCGTTGCTGGCAAGGCCTCCCGACTGGAGACTCTCAGGAGTTTAGCGGATTAGAAGGGGCGTGATGACACCTGGCAAACCCACCACGCTTTAACCCCCCCCCGCCCGCCCCTATGCTTGTACAGGGAAATTTGAGTTTCTAGGTCCATAGGGCTTAACAGCCCCTTCACTACGGGCAAAAAAAAAACACATTTTCGCATATTTGTCGATTTGTTTGTGTTTCTCCCTCGTGGTGGGACTTTGTAGGATGCACGTTGAGGTTTCTAAGGGGCGCGGGGTGACCAATGAGGTCTCGGTTGGTCTGTAATAAGATATGGCACTGGTCGGGGTTGATAGCTGTGTGATGCTGCTGCTGCTGAATCCCAAACGAGTGTGATGTATGGACGTAATTTCTCAGCATTTTGGGAATGTTGTGGCCAATATCCAGTTTACCGGGTGGGTGGGGGGTGGGTTTTGTGTTGGCTATGGAGAGGTGGCGGGCGGGGGGGGCACAACAACAAAAAAACCGGGGAATCCTGGTGGGCAAACCCAATGCGAATCGAACCCAGGGGACCGCCCCCATCCATCTGGTCGTGCGCCGGCGGTGTTGACGAACGCGCACGTAACAGCCACCCACCCACCCTCCCTCCCAAGTGGTTTGTCATCTGAATGACATGTTGTAGTCGGATGTCGGA